GGCCATATTTTGTCTCATTTTAACATTCCATGATTTGAGGTGTAAGACTGCAAGGCAGTTCCTCTGGCGTGGCAGCTCCAGCTCCATTTTAAAGTGACTCCATTTATATTGTTGTTGATAATTGGTTCTGCCGATGAATGGAACTGAATGTATAAATTAGTTAAGCCATTTAGTGGCTGTAATTTAGGTATAATCTGTGAAATGGGGCCTTAACACTGACCTGGCAAGAGACACTGGGCTGATTAAATGAAATACATGACATCCTCACCTAACGTCATTCATAGGTTCTGCACCTCAAAGTGGAATGACAAATGAGGAAGCCAGTTTTACCATAGGCTAGTTGATATAAACAAGAGTTAAGTTCCTAGGGCAGCTCATCAACATTACAACTTAATAGCATTTTTGAAGACCTGCTATACATGCATGTTGTTTCTGACACATAGCAGACATCTCATAAATTTATTTTCCTGTCTACATTCTTTCATAAAGAAAGAGGTTATAATCCAAAGCCCTTCAGACTTCCTCTGTGAGTCTGGAGCAGGCAGCATGAACTCAGAGCCGGGGAAGTATGCCAGAGCGTGCTAACTCTCATCACCGTGCCAATAAAACGCCATTGTGTATTAAGAGAATTCCTTCTGAGTTTAAGCATTTCTAAATACCTTTCCTGAATTGAGAAACCAAACTGAATCAAGTGTGAAAAGTCTATTCTCTGTTTATAAAGGCATCTTTCCCATCTTTTTTGGATTTTCATGATCTGTAACTGGACTTCTGTACCCAGCTGGCAGCTGCACCAGCCAGACCCTGAGGCCACCTTAGTTTAGGCCCGTTTTTTTTTTTCACTCAGAGCCTACAAATTCTATTTAAAGGGCACACATGTACAGAATGCAGATGTGGGAATGAAAACCAGGCTCTTTGGGGAGTGAAGCCATGATATTTGACTGCAGTGAGGCCATAAGTGACCATCAGCAGGGGCCTCACCCAGACATGGTTGGGGCCCAGACCTCAAGAGTGGTTTTGGCCTTTGGATATGGCTTTAGCAACCACACGGCCAGTCACCACATCTCCCCTTTGGGGCAACAATGTTGCACAATCTGTAATCAGACAGGCTTGAAAGGTTTTTTCCTGCACTCTGAAGGACGTGTAACAGAATGGATATTCTGAAGAACTAACTCCATGAAGAAGCTGAGGATCAAAACTGTTGGGCAGAGAGGGGAAGTTGGGCTGCTTTTGCTGAATGCAAAAGGACACTTCAGAATGTAGTTCTACTGTGTATACAAAGCAGGAGGGAGGTCACTAGGCTGTTTACATCGGGCATCGAAAGGTCTTATAGTTCAGTTTTGGCTGGTGTGGCTCAATGGATTGAGTGCCAGCCTATGAACCAAAAGGTCACTGGTCAACTCCCAGTCAGGGCACATGCCTGGGTTACACAGACCAGGTCCCCAGTTGGGGACATGTGAGAGGCAAAAGATATCTCTAACACATCAGTGTTTCTCTCCCTCTCTCCCTCCCTTCCCCTCTCTCTAAAAATAAATAAAATCTGATCCTGGCTGGTGTAGCTCAGTGGACTGAGCTCTGGGTTGCAGGCCATTTCCCAGCAGGGGACACATGAGAAGCAACCATACATTGATATTTCTCTCCCTCTCTCCATCCCTTTTCTTCTAAAGATAAATAAATAAATAAATATATTTTTTAATTTGAATGAAAGAAAGAAAGAAAGAAAGCTCTTATAGTTCAGCTAGACCTCAAATGAACATTCCTTTTGGATGGCTAACAAATCATTCATTCATTCATCCATCCATTCATTTATTCATTCAACATTTATTGAGAACCTGTTGCACTACATAACACGTCATATAACAGGTGCTCAGGATACCATGGCAAACAACAACATGAAGCATTTTTAAATATCCCTGACTTTGTGAACCTTACATTTTAGAGAAAGAGACTGATGATAACAATAACAATAATTAAAATATACAGTTGACCCTTGAACAACATGCTTTGAATTGCGTGGGTCCACTTAGACACAGATTTTTTTCAATAAATTCTGTAAATGTACTTTTTCTTTCTTATGATTTTCTCAATAACATTTTCTTTTCTCTAGCTTACTTTGTGCTAAGGATACAGTGTATATAATAGGTATAATATACAAACTGTGTTAATCTACTGTTTATACAAGGTGAGACGAAAGTAGGCTTGTACTTGTTCATATGGAAAGTAATACAACAATCAATAAATAATAATATAAGAATAAACCGTGTTTCATGTAATCACAACTGTAAACCCACTTTTACCCCACCTTGCATTAACAGTAAGGCTTCTGATCAATGTAGGCTATCAGCAGTTCCATCATGTGGGATTCAGAAATTATGCTTGGGTTTCTAATTGTGCAGGGGTCCACCGCTAACCCCCGCATTGTTCACAAGTCAACTCTGTAGTGAAAAATGCTAAGAACGGAAGTGAAGCAGGGGTGGGAGTATGAAATATTAGGGGAAATGGGTGCCGAAGTAGTGAACAAGGTGTTCTGGAAAGGCCTCTTAGAAGCTGCCTTTAATGAGTACCTGATCAGTGGTTTGGATGGATATGAACCTAATCAAAAGCATTTTCTCTCAGATTGTCAAGGCTGTTTCCACATGGTTTTTTCACTTCTGGGATGCTGTTGAGAAAGCCAATGCCTTTCTGACCCCTGATCCTTCTGTGGCTTTTCTCCCCACCCTCTGGGCTGGTAGAAACCTCTGTTTCCTCTGCCACCTGGAATTTCTCAGTGACAGGCATGTGTCTGTGAGCATTTCATGAATATTTTCAATCTCCAATCTCATGTCCTTCAGTTTTGGGGAGAGGGGATTCTTATAATGTCTTTTTATAAAACTTCTATGTTTCCTGATATCTTTTTACTCAAATCCCCATTTTTAGTTGTTGGGATTTTCTGAAGTAATTCTCTGTTGTTTTTTTTATTGGCTTTCATCTTTTTCTCATCCGTTAGTCTTTTTACTCCATTTACTCTAATTTTATCAACTTTTTGTTTTTCACTGAATTTTTAATTTCTGCTCTCATGCCTCATTTCTTCTGAGTTTCTGTTTTCTGTTTATTTCAGTCTTTTCTTTCACATTAGAGGCTTTTATGAACTGTCTGTTAATGGTAGTCTGCTACTGTATGAGTGATGCATGGGTGTACTAGGAGGAAGTTTTTATATATGGGCCAGGCTGCTTAACAATGGGGTAACCAAACAGAAGCTGAACAGGAACACTCTGTGGCTCTCTTCTCATGGGCCAGTCAGCTTTTCTAGATGAGTTCCTCTAGCTTCCTGGCTGAGTTGTCGCCCTGGTACCAGCATTCTGTCAGAGAGCACCTCACCCATCCTCTCCTGTGCTCAGTGAATCTGGTATGTTGGTTCAACCTCTTCAGTCTTCTGTGGATACAGGGAGTCACTTGGCTAAGTGGGATAGAAAGAGAGATGTAGGCAGATTTCTGTGCCATTAAAAAAAAATAGTTCAATCAGGGCTCATGCTTTCCACTCACTTTGCATTCCTGCCTTCAACGGATCTGGCGCCTCATTTCCTGAGCTTCCCGGGCCTGCACGTTTTATGGGGAGCTGTCTCCTGGAGGACCTAGGTGTCAGCTTACTCTTTTCTGCTCTGGTTTCCTCTCTCATTCCCTTAATTCCTTAATGTATACTTTTTTTATTCCTTGTTGTCATTTTAATGGAATTTCAAGAGAAGACAGATAAATTTATTCCACAAACTGCCATATTTAACCAGAAGTCATTTTCTATTCTCTTTTTAGTCTCTTCTGCCAAAGACTCCTCTCTAGCAGTAGTAGTCCCTTCTCAAGTAGTGTCTCACAAGAAATTGGATTCAAATTAAATGTCAGGACCTTTAGTGCTCTGGTTCAGTTATCTCTTTCTGAATAACAATGACCCTAACCATAGTTATTTAAAACAACCACAGTTATTTATTTGCTTATGATTCTGCATCTTGGGCAGGGCTTTGAAGGGGCATCTTGTTTTTGTTTCATGTGATGTCAGCTAGGTACGCTCACCTGGGGCCACGGGCACCCTACCAAGAAGGCTCACCCTCATGACGGGCCAGTCGTTCTGGAAGTTGAATGGGTGTTTAGTGGGCCCATCAGTCTGGGCTTCCATTCTTCACCATTTGGCCTCCTCATGTTGCTTGGCTGGTCTCCACAAAAGCTTGATTCTGTGGGGGAGAATCTGTGACCATGCTCACCAATAGGGCAAGCTCTAGCATGCAAGCACTTCTATCTTCCACTTTACATCACACTTGCTAATGTCCTGTTGGCCAAAGCAAGCCATGTGGCAAAGCTCAGACTCAATCTGGGAAAAAACTACACTTTATAAGAGCACATAAATGACTACTGGGAGGCATCATTCATTGGGAGCCACGTCCCTTCCGGAACTCAGGAATTCTTCCTGTGCTTGTTTTCCTTTGTGTAACTGACTTGGTCCAGTTTCTTTCTGAGACATTGGGGTATCTGATGCTTTTCTAGTAGATAGTTTCATATGCTATAAACATTCAATAAATATGTATTAGACCACAGAAATATTGTAGCATTGCCACTTAAAATGTTTCTGAATGGACTATAAAGACACTATTTATCTTTCACATGGCTATAGTGAATGTGCTTATAGTTAGTGAAAGACGGGGGTGGGGGGGAATCACCTTACAGGATTGAATTTCTAAATATACTTTTTAAGGGAATTAGTATTGACTTTGCTTTAGGCTACCAGAGGTTAGCTTTTTGTTTTTGGTTTCAAAAAAGTTAAAAATTAACTTCTTTAATGCTTGCCTAGACTCCAAAAAATAAAAATGGGTACTTTTGAGATAACCTGAAAATGCATTTCTTAGAAATTCCAAACATGTATTTCTTGTTATGTGCTCTCAAGCTTGCCCAGAACATTCCAGCATGCGGTCAGACAGAATGGCTTAGCTGTGCTGTGAGTCTTGGTCTGTGACTGATCCCTGTGTTCATTTTGCATGCAGGGGTTCTCTATCTGCAGTATGGAGATGAAACCAAGCAGCTCAGGATGCCGAATGAAATCACAAGTGCAGACACGATCCGGGCTCTCTTTGTAAGTGCCTTTCCACAGCAGCTCACCATGAAAATGCTGGAGTCGCCCAGTGTCGCCATTTATATCAAAGATGAAAGCAGAAATGTGTATTATGAATTAAATGATGTAAGGTAAGTAGTTACAGTGAGTGTATGTGTGTGTGTGTGTGTGTCCACTATACTGCATTCTGCATTTAGAATTGCTATAGTTTGTGTTGGGTTCTAATCTCTTCAGGGAAGAGATGTCCCAGGGAGGAGCATTGCTCTTACCCCGACTGGCAGGCTTATCTCACCCAAGTGTGAATTCACTAACTGCTTTTCTATAATTTACTTACAAGATGTGGTTTACAAAGTCAAGAAAAATGATGGCAGACTTCTCCAACATAGATCTTTATGTGTTACATCAGAAGAGAACTTAGGAAGTGACCCAATCCAGTGGTTATTTAAGAGTTAGGGAAACTAAGGCCCAGATAGAGAGACTTGATCAAGATCATGGGTTGAAAGCACGACTTATGACTGGAACTTTCCCAACTTCTTCTCAAGTGCTCTGTCCCTCAGGGACAGAGCCTGTAGACATCTAAAGTCATGACCCCACTGAGTCACTTTACATGAGCAAGTTGGAACAGCAGCAGCAGACTTCGTCACTGTCCACAAGAAAAGAGGCTGAGAAATATTCTCCCTTTCCATTTGTCTGTTAAATAGTCAGCCTTTCCCAGAGGATCTGACTTTCTAGGTGGGCTTTCTCCAGCACCCCACAATAGAATGTACTCTAAAGTGAAGCGAAATGGACTCCTGCTACTGCAGGTGGCCCGGGGGTAAAAGTGTCCTTCTCAACTATAGTGGTGTTATGTATGGAGTAGGAGGGACCCATCTGATCTGTCTCAGCCAAACAGCCTGAGACACAGGATTTAAATCAGCACCAACAAGCAGGTGCTAATATAGCCCCTAAACATTTTAGAAATTAAAAAATTATTTAGTGATTAATCCAGCCTTTTCATTTGATGGTACCAGACACTCAGATCCATAAAAGTTAATGGGCTTATTTGGGATCACGCAGACAGTTCATTACCACACCTGGCTCCAAACCTGACTGTCCACATTCTTGGTCAAGAATTTTTTATTCTCTCAGTATGCTCCCTCCTCAACTCATCTAGGCCACAACTTGGCTTTCTGGGGGTCCTTGCCCTGTGGGAATAGCAGGCTGGCCTGTTTCTTCATTATGGAATTAGTGGAAACCACTTTTAAAAATATGCCTTATTGCATAATAAATAAAAACTGATCAATATCTCACAATGATCACAAACGACACATTTTGGCGTGTGCTAAGGTGGATGAGTAATGTAGGGCTTTCAAAGCTTGACACGTGCCCTAAGGTAGAGGGTGCTGCAGCTGTCACACAACCTTCCTGCTTTTTAAAAATGTGTTTAAATATTCATGGGTATCAGAAAATGTATGTTTGTTTCTTGAATAAATTATTAATCAGGCTGTCACCAAAAAAGGGGAAGAGGATTTACAAAACATAAACTTAAATCCCATGTAGAGTTTTTACATGGACAAAGCATTTTATAACAATCATCTTGAATCTCCACATTTTGCCGTTAGAGGAATTGAGGGATTCAGTAATGATAAATAAGCATGAAACTCTAGGCAAAGCCACTTTTGCTTATGCAGTTCAAGGCTGATGAGGTCATTATGAACAATTGGACCCCACTGTCTCATAGCCTGTGCAAGAATTTTTACATTGCAATGCCGCGTAATATTCTAGAGCCTTTCCCAAGCCTCAGGGTATTACTAATACTTCCTGTGTGCATCTGAGGGTGTGTCATTAGATAGTTAGAAAGACAAATGGGAGGGAAAACAAAGAGGAAAAGGGCCCCAAGACTTTCAAATTAAGATAATCTTTTTTCAAGCAAATTCAGTTGATAAACTAGATGAAAGCAGTGCTTGAGAGAAGTTGTCGCTTTTAACGTTGATAATTTTTAGTTAATATGTTTATATTTGTAAAAAATGATGATCTTGTTGATCCTTCTAGTATTGATAGCCTGATTTTTTAATTGCATTTAAAATGTTTAAGTGGGAAGCCATTGATTTATAAATTTGTCTAGAATTATATTTTTTAGAGTTTTGACTTACTTTAATAATGGATCTAAAATTTTAAGTGGGGAAAATGTTTTTGCTTGGTAGTGAATATAATGTTTATGTTCGATAATGTCATGTATGTCCTTTCCAAAGAATTACTGTATTTCTTTTTATGCATAAAGTGCCTCAACTATAGCTTATTTGAATGGTCAAATAAATTTTTACCATCACCATTATATAGAACCTTCCTCCCCACCCCTAAAATGTATCATGTGGATTTTAACTGAAGACAGTGGCTTTAATCTAAACTCAGAGACAAATTTTATTTTACATCCTTCAGTATTTTTGAAGTGAGAGTATACTTGTTAAATGTTGGGCTATTTTGTCATTGTGTTGGGTCCTCCACGTTTTCCTTAAGGAAATGCTACAGAGAGTTCAGGTTGAAATGCTGTGTTGTAAATGTTGCCATGGTAAATGCGGTCTGAGCCTATACCATTGGATCATCTTGGACAAACACGCTTCTAAATTAATCCCAAACCAACCTCATGTATTTTAAATACTTTTAGAATCACACCAAGTTCTTTCCGTGGCTCAAATATGGTCTTCAGTCTCTTCACATCACTACTATAACTTTTCCCCAAAGCCACAGGGTAAGTTCCTTTAGTGAATCCCCACATTCTTACTCTCTGTGAATCACCCTCTTCATAGTAACCTACCCAGCCCTTCCCATAACAAGGACTGCACACTCCCCCCATAAGCCAACTTCTAATGAGCTACTTGAAATCTGGAGCAATCATGCAAGCTAGGGCTAGTCGTTGCTTCAAAGCAATTACTGACGGATATTTAAAGGAGGGAAGCAAGTCTAGTCCAAGAATTCTCAGAAACATAACCCAGTAATCCCAGAGATTTCAATCAGCCCTCAAAACGTGTGGCTGCACCTGGAGGAAAGGAATGCGTCTTCCTGCACACGTTTCCCTGAGCTCACTGCTCTGGCATTAGAAGGAATCGCTGGACAGACGAGGCTGAAAGTGCCTTGGGTGGCCCTTCTGCTGATGAAATTTGAATATGGAGGAAAAAGGACTTCATAGACATTCATATGCTCTTAAATAATTTTAAGGTAGGAATTGAAAAAGATGTGGGACTTCTGTTCTTTGCTGCAGTGTGATTGATTTCCCAGCTCTAAGTGCTAGGTTCAGAAGGAGAGACAGAGAGGTAGAAGAATTTATCTGCTGCTATTTTTTTAAAAATACGCTGCGTATCCATGAAGTCAACTTGTATGTAGAAAAGTATTTTTAAAATCCACTGTGGAAGAAAAAAAATACATCGTAAAGAAACCAGTTTTGATCTTTGGGATCCTTTTATTTTTTTCATGGACTGTAAATAGATGTTCTCTCTCTTGTGAAAACTGCTTGAAGGGAGAAAAGCATTTTTCATTTGTGTGCACTCATAAGATAAGCAGAAAACCAGGTGTTTGGGTAAAGTCAGCAATTGAATATTTAAATATTAACCAAATCTTTTTTAACATATTGTAGATACTGGAGCTTTATTGTTTCTTAAAGTGTTACCTTTCTTTGCTCACAGTCTTGAAAGAAAATTCACGACACCTGATATCTATGGGTAGAAAACTACACAGAAAGAATTGTACTTTCCAGAAGAACCAAAAAAGGGGGGGGGGGTTTGAGGTCATTTTTCTTATCCTTATTTATTTTTGCTTATTCTATGGTAAAAGAACTTTTATCTGGTTGCTTGTGGAAAACAGCTGGATTGTCTGCTGCTGCTTCTACCTGATTCTTATGGGTGGACAAAGAAAATGTCCGAAGTTGGGCTCTTCTTGTCTGTCATAGTTACTGATGTTTCTGATTCCAGGAACATTCAGGATCGATCGCTCCTCAAAGTGTACAACAAGGACCCCGCACATGCATTCAATCACATGCCCAAAACTGTGAATGGAGACATGAGGGTAAGTGTTCCTGTTCTATTTTTAATTTTATTTGGTAGGTCAAATGATCTCTTCTTCTGTGTGCTCCTGATAGAATCACGTCCCACCACCAGGTTTTGGTTATTCTCCCCATTCATCGCATCTGATGACTTATTTGTTTCTTGGTAGAGAAAGACTTTTCTGGTCAAATACAGCAAAGGAATTGAAATTAGGCCTCGTACATCCTCATTCATCTCTAAGCATAGAGTTTAGTTATGTACCCATTCCAAGGAGATACAGAAAAATCTTTCCATAAAAGGGTTCTTGGTCCACATCACATTAACTTATTCAGAGGATCTCTTGCTATGTTTTTTTCCCAATTCAAACAAAACTAGCATACAAACAACAATGAAAAAAAACATAAATAATTGCATGTAAAATCTATTAAAATCTTCTTCTATCAGCTATTCCAAGACCTAGCACTCTAGTTAAATTAGTCTCCTTCTAATTCAGGACCTTTTGCTGTTGTACTATATTAAATATTATCAAATCATATCTGAACTGCATTTCGGGCATAGTAGTACAAAAATCTGCACGATTTGGGAGCTAAAATTCTCTTTCTTGATTTAGAACATCTCAGATGATCCAAACATTCAAAGCATACAGAGATGTTTTGGAGAAAAAAGAGCAGAGAAACTGAAAAGGCAGAATTTAAAACCACATTAGTGCAGGTCCACTAGAAAGGGATTGTCTTTCTAACAGTAGCACTGCGTCCTTCTGCAGGAAAAATGGGAGGAAAAAAGAAACATTAACCTCTCCAATCTTACCTCCTCCATGCCCCCACACTCAAATTTAGGAAATGCTGTGCTATTTTATATCATCTTACTTGAGGATTAGCACTCGGCTGGAAGCTGGAGTTTAACTACAAAAAGTAGTGAATTGGTTATATTGGCAAAGAAATGCAGGTGCTGCCTGGCCTGGCATTGGACTAGAGAGCCTGAGGTGAAGCCACCTTTGCTTCCCGGCAGCATGTGTTAGCTTTCTATTGCTGCTAGAGGAATTAGCACGCATTTAGTGGCTTAAAACGACACAGGTATTATAGTTCCATAGGCCTGACATCCAATATGGATGGACTGAAATCAAGAGGAGGATGTTGGCTTTCCTTTCTGGAAGCTGTGGGAAATATTTCCTTTTCTTCTCAGCTTTTAGGGGCTGTCTGCATTCCTCAGCTTGCAGCCCTCTTCCTCCTTCGTTAAACCTAGTCAGTGGCCTCTCTCTGGCTTTGCTACCTTTGTCACATCTCCGACCCTTCCTCTTCCATTGTTAAGGACACCTACCTGGTACTCCTGGACAGTCTTCCTATTTTAAAGTCAGCTGATTAGCAACCTTAACCCCCCTCTTTCATGTAGTCACGGGTTCCAGGGTTTAGGATGTAGACATCATTGTTCTGTTTACCACACAGGGTATGTGAGTTTAGGACCAAGAGGCCAAGAGGTCCAACAGAAAGTGCTGGAAAGATTTCTTTGTAATTCTGGCCAGGAATATGAGTGCTGACATTGTGGGATCAGAGCCTACACTTCTGGAGGAAAAGGCCTCTGATGTACTTAACTTCTGCTTTCTTTTTATGTCAGAAATGATGTGTGATTTAAGGTGAAGGCTGTGTGGCCACTTCATACAATCTAGGATTTTGAGATTTATTTATAGCCAGTCACACTCAAAATGCAAACCAGTATCATGTGAAGATAAGTCAGGTCATGCTAATCAGGTACCATGTACTGAATATTACAGAACCCTTTGCCTTTGCCTTTGATTACTTCATTGTTCTCTTTCTTGCTGATGTTCTTAAGAATCTGCTCCCTTGGAAGTCTTTGTGCTTGATAAGTCTAGCCTTTGAAACTAGAGTTTCATGGTGCTCAGAATCTATTTCTGTTATATAGAGCCCACACAGGGGTCCCACGATCACCTCTGAAAACCTTGTTTATGGCTGGGGAAGACACACCTGTTTTAACTCTTAAGCAGATGTGGTACCTACATAAGGGGCCAGCAGTGACCATGGAGAGAATCAAATATTAACCATATGAACAAAGCCTATTAGAATTCAGAACTTTTGGTGTGGGTTTCAGTGAAGTTGTTGTTTTTACTTTTAGACAAGACCCTAGCAGTCACTTTCTGAGTTGCTCACAGCCTACTTTATACAGCAATTTTTTTATGGGAGAAAATCAACGGTTGTTCCAAGATAAGGAAACAACAAATGTTCACCATCCAACCCACTGAAAAGCATTCTGGTTTCACTGAAGATGACCTAGCAATGAGAGCTAGAGCACGGTTTAAATATCAACTAGATGTGATTGTGTTTGCAGTTTGTAACTTGGCCTCATCACAGATTCCAAAAAATTAAAGATACTGAATTCCTTCAGCCTCACCTTTTGGCTCTAGTGATTGAAATTCTCTCTCCTTCCTGATGAACATAACTGCCTTTCTATTAAAGGAAAGAAAGCTTTGTTGGGTCCTGTCTGGAGTGCAGCTGCATAGCCCCATTGTTTGTGGTGAAGAACAGAAATAGAGAACAGAGCAAGGATGAATTATTGTAGACTAAACTGAGCTGCATGGTAGGTTGAAGGGACTCCATCCTCCCGTATGTTTGCAATGTGTTCGTGGCTGTGGAGGAATGTGGTCACTGCTCACATGCATCGGTTACGCAGCCCTGTGTCTAATATCATTGACCTTCCCTCGCAAGCCTCTAGAGGCAGCCTGAGACAGACTTCTAGCTGCCCACTCATTATCAGTACATACATGTATCATGAAAAACATTGGTGGCACCATGTAGAGATGCAACAAGAGCAATGCCAGAAGTCTGCAGTGGCCTCTGAAACTTTTCTTACACAATGCATTGAATGTCTTGCCTATGAAAGAAAAGGTGTTAGGAATCTGAATCTAATACAGTCAGCTCTCTAGAGCAGAGATGTGATGGTAGTGGTGTTACCCAAGAATCAAGTTAGGCTAAAGTATTAGCTCAGAGGATGCGAGCACGCATGGAATATATGCTTGGTGGGAAAACGGGTCTAGTTTTTCTTTAGCATCTAACTGAGCATTTTTGAGGTTAGTCTGTTTAATAAGATTTGTGGCTCTCTGCTGGAACTGAGCATACTGGTGTCCTTGTTTTTTTCCATTGCCTGGCTTCTGTTTTGTTACATTAGATAGTAGCTTTGATCATTCAGTTCCCATGGTACTGTACTCACAATGTGAAACAGGCCCTTTTGCAAAAAATTATGTGTTTACTCACAGGTTTGTAGTTCACAAATATATTATACAACTCACAGATGAGCCATTCCATTCCTTGGCTCTCAAAAGGTACCACTAGTCACTTCCTGTCTCCCAAACCCAGTGGCTTTTCACAGTTTTCGGGCTTTTTCACCTTCTCATGCACCTTGAGATTACGTCCCAACATTCTCTATTTCTATCATTCACTTCTTTCCCTCTTACATGTCTTTAATTGTTACTTGTATGTAGAGAGTTTCCAGATTTGCATTTAGAACACAATCCCCAGAATTGGCCCTGTATCTTAAATTACTCGTAATACCCTATTCAGCCCTGCCTCCCAGGCCTCTTCTATATGAGTTCCGCATTTGACACTGATGGACAGTCTCCCTAGAAACTTTGGCTTCCATTACACTGCCATTTCTACATTCCTGCCTACATTCAAACACACCTCAGCTTCTTTCATTCACTAACATTTCTTCTTCCTCTTGCCCTCTATCGTCTTCAGTGTGTTCAGGCAGATTTCTTCACTAGTTTGTGTATATGTGTGTTTTTAATTTGCTTATTTTTATCTGCTCCTTTTCATTTGTGATTTTTATCTTTCTACTGGTTTAGCCACTATGTCAACGTGGATGATCCCTGAAACTATATCCCTAGGTCTGCCATTTCTTAAGAGTTCAAGATGCAGATGTTCAACTTCCAACTGGTTGTTTCTACATGGGTAGTCTTCCAATATTTCCAGTGTATCATGTGGAAGAAACAAAATCCTAATCTGTTTTTTCTTCCAAGCCCTCTTCCTCCTGTTTTTCCCTTTTGTGAGTGATGGTGTGTGCACACAGGTGTGTGTGTTTTGAGGTGTGGGGAAAGATATGTAAAAAGTTGAGTTATCTATGGGCCTTCAGTTGCCTGTCTTCTGTTTCTCAGTGTGCCCCCCAGTCACCAGGGCCACCCTGCTGTGCAAGGCCTCTTACACTGACCCTCTGGCCGTGCCTGCACTCCCACTCTTACAGCAGCTGACTTTTTTGAACATTCACTAATCACTTTTCTGGGTAATTTTTTATTTAATCCTCAAGACAACATTTTGAGGCAGGTATTGGTATGAACCCTTGTATTTTTAACTCAAGAAACAGTTGCTTAGGTATGTTAAGAAACGTGCCCAAGGCCAAACAGCTAGAGCATGGCAGGGCTGAGATTTGAACCTGCACAGCTGGGCTCGGTTAAAGTTTTAACTGACTAGAAAAGATGCCTCCCAGTAGTCATTTATGTGCTCTTATAAAGTGTAGTTTTTGTAAAGTGTAGTTTTAAAGTGGTCATTACTTTTCTAGTCAGTTTCTATAAAGTGTAGTTTTTATAAAGTGTATGTAGTGCAACAGCCTTTAACCAGTCTCCCCAACTCTTCATACTCCAGTCTAACAACTGCTTCTCAAGTCTCCCCCCTAAGCCCAACTTCCGGTTCTGCAGAGACTAGCACCAACGGTCAATGTCATCCCCAACTGCAGCACCCAGCAAAGCTGCCTCACAGTTCTTCCTCCAAGTGTATAATGTCCTCCCCCACCTCACATATCTGCCTTTCAAATCCCACCCATCTAACGTACTATAGGACAATTGCCCAAATTACAGCAACAAGTTGCTGGCATCAATAAAGGGTAGTAGGAGGGGACACTACTATGTTCCTTGGTCTCTTCTGTATTGTGACAGCCAATTCCATGTGCATATCAGGTTTGAATCCCGATTGGAACAAACCAACTGTAAAAGAAAGACATGTTTGAAAGTGTTTAGAAAAT